GCAAGAAGGTTGCCTTCCGCTCGCTTTCTCATGCCTCCCCATGCCTGTTGCCGCGGGAGAAAGGCGACGGGGGATGGAGGGAAAGGCGGAGGCAATGCAAGAAGAAGCGGAGGATCAGGAGCAGGAGGAGGAGGAGGACGACGACGACGACGATGTCGACGCCGAAGACGATGAGGACGAGGACGAAGGCGAGGAGGAAGAGGAGGAGGAAGATGAGCAGGAGGAGTAGAAAGAGGAAGGAGGAATGTGAGGATAATGAGGATGACGAGGAGGAGGAGGAGGAAGAGGAAGAGGATTGTGGGGATGATGAGGATCACGAGGAGGAGGAGGAGGAGGACATATGAAGGCGATAATGAGGATGAGTGTGCATTATGTTGCTCGACCCGAGTAGGCAGTTGCATGAGTACAGTATTTGGTTCCGAATCCGCCGAAGGCCGTGGCTGCCAGCAGACTCCGCTGAACCCAGCTTGGTGCAATCGCATAGGGGAGGCAGGACGTCCTCATACACTCCTGGCGCTCTACGTCCACCTCACTTCAGGATGCACAATCTTCACGCGCAACGCCGTCCCTGCTCAGAGCAGGTTCGGTACCGCCACCGCAACCACCTGTGATCTTCCTTGGGCAAGATCTCCAGCATCTCTCTTGCGCTGTTTCCTGCTACGCTTCACAATCTTGGAAGACAGTATCAGCATCCATCCAGTCAGGAGGCGTTGTCTTATCCCACCTCCTCCGCAGCTATTTAGGTTGGGTCTGCCCAGGTGCCGCAATAGACGACACCCTTCGGCCCGCCGGGCGTCATGGACCCGGCTTCCAGGAAGCACGAGCACCCCGACGGCAAGGCTCCTGGACCGAGCATGACCCCAGGGTCTGATCCGCCACTGAAGGTCATGCGACGAGCAAAGTACTGCATAAGCATACATGTTCGGAGGTCCGATCGGATTTCTTGAGTGCGCGCTGAGGCTCCCCCCCCCATTCGCGTGGGCGCGCGCGGAACGCGCTGGGGGCAGCGGAGGCGCCGCCCAGGGTCGTCCAGCGCCGACCCGAGCAGTCCACGTGGACCTTCGAAGGTTTAGGTTTGCGCACTGTTTGTTGTTTTTGTTTTCTGAGGTCAGGAGGGTGTCGCCGCGGAAGATAGCGAAGTTCTACAACGTGCTGGCGGCCCCGCTGTGCGAGCGCAAGGGCAGGCAGCTTGAGAGCGCAGAACCCGACCGGTTCCGCTTCTTCCCGAGCCGCTGGGAGAAATTTTCAGATTCGGGCACGGAGATGGCCTTAGGCGAATCTGCCCCTTCGACGATCAAGGCTCTCAGATTCCCTCGCGTCGTGATACGATCACGACGGAGGGTTTTCAATGAAGCTGCAGCCTCCGTCGGACCATTTTCAGGCCCCAGAAGTGGTCAAAAATGGATCGGGATGGAAAGTTGGTCGCGGGGAAGGGGTCTAGACCTTTGGTCCACGTTGTTAACAAGTTGCGATACCGGATGTCTGGGAATCTGCCCCGTCGATCAGGGCCCGATCAGGTCATTGATCGGTCGATCGATTGGGGTCGGCCCGTAAATCTGGTTCCTGGTCAACAGACTGGACAAGGCTGCTTGGATCAGGACCGCGATGAGGTTCCGGGATCGCCGGGATGTCTTTTAAGGACAGGATCGAGTTGGGAGGCTTCACGCCCTTCAATCATATACGGGGCAGCCACGTCCTGTTCCTGGCCGACTTCCACAGCAACGACGCCGTGTTGTCCCAGGTGAACGCGTTAGTCACCCTCTGCGAGTCCTTCATCCTCAGCCTCACCATCGCCCTGCCGTACTACCCGCACGGCACAATGGAACGCGTGGAACGCGAGGGCGAGGTGGCCACGGCCAGCACGGTGGCCCGCATCATCTCGCATTTGCCCTCCTGCGGCTCGCCCGCGCGCGTGATGCTGTATGACCTGCACGCTCTGCAGAACCGCTACTACTTCCACGGCAACGCGGCGGCCTCCCTGCACTCGACGGTACCTATGCTGCTCTCCGCCCTGAGCGCCGACGCGGCTCGAATACCCGACGCTGCCTCGGGGAAGGTGAGTGCCATCGCCTTTCCCGACGATGGCGCCGCCAAGCGCTTCGGGAAACTCTTCGTGCAGGAGGGATTTCCCATCATTATCTGCGGCAAGGTCCGCGACGGTGACAAGAGGATCGTACGCATCATGGAGGGGGAGTGCAAGGATCAGCATGTACTGATCGTCGATGACCTCACGCGCTCTGGTGGCACCCTATACCAGTGCGGCAAGGTTCTCAGGGAATTCGGCGCCGTGGGCGTCTCAGCATTCGTAGCTCACGTGGCTATGCCGCCCGAAGTCTGCAAGAAGTTTTTCAAAAAAGGCAGTCACGGTGCCGGTGAGTACGCGATCTTTGATACGTTCTACACCACAGACTCGAACCCGATCGTCGCAGACAAACTCCCCAAGGATGATGTCTTTCGGGTGCTGGACATGGTGCCGCGGCTGATGGAGGACCTCGACTGAGACCAGCCTGGTGCGTGCCGCTCGCTCCCTGCGCTCGCGTCCCCGAGCTTCCCGCGCCCCTTGCCTCCGATCTGCTGCGCCGGCAGCACGTCCCGCAGGCGTGTGGGCACACGTGGAGCGCGCCTCGCCCTCGAGGTGTCGAGAGGCTGACCCTCCGGGGAGGAGAAGACGCCGTTGCCGCTGCTCGTCCTGGAGAGCCCTCGCCGATATGGCCAGATTCTCCTCGAGACTCTGGTCAGAACGCGCCCCAGGAGAGGTCTGGGGAGCAGCGAGTAGCGGTATCTGTTGCTTCGCCCAGACCTCGTCTTCCTCTGCGGAAGGCGGCGGAAGCAAGGCGAGGGCTTCTGCGCTGGCGGGCGCCCGCGGAACTTGGCGGAAGTATTTGCTGGCCCCCGTCGGAGACGTGGACTTGTGTTGGACCCAGGGTTTCCAGGGCGGGCCTCGTGTTCGGAATGATCGGTCGGTCCTTGTACTGAGGGCTTCTACTTGTGACCTGGAGGAGTGGCCCTGTCTGTCGCATTGTTCAAGTTACGTGGATCCCTGTGGCTTGGCTTTCTGTGGATCGCTATGGCTTCGCCTCCCACCGGCCATGTCTGTTGCACTCTCCGAAGTGGCTGCTTGAGGGCCTATGGCTTGGTTATGTGCGGATCCCTGCGGCTTTACCTTCCACTGAGCCTGTCTGTTGCACTTTCCACGGTGGCTGTTTGTATCATGTGGAGGTTCCACAAGGATCCACAAACAGATTGGTCCACACACACACACGCACACCCCACACGCACACGGGGCTTCACACACATAGGATTCCACGCCCATCGGATTGCACAAATAGGGTCCCACACGCATCCACACACCCACACACACACACGCTGTTCCACACACATAGGACTTTCTACAAATGGCGTTACACACACTGGGCTCCAAACCTGAGAGGCTCCACACATACACAAACAGGAAGGTACACACGCGATTCCATAATTAGAGTTCCGCAGCTCAGGGTTCCGCTCATAGGTTTCCAACACAAATGCACGCACGCAAGCACGCACGCACGCACACGCAAGCACACACGCACACCCACACGCACGCCCCCCCCCACACACACACACACACACACACACACACACACACACACACACACACACACACACACACACACACACACACACACACACACACACACACACACACACACACACGCACAAACACACCTACACACATAGACACATACACACATACACACATACACACACGCGCACGCACACGCGGCTCCCCCCACACGTATGACGTCACACACACACACACACACTTTTTGGCGGTCGCGGCCTCGCGCGCAGCGACGAGGCGGAGCAGGTCGAGCGAGCGGCACGGTGCAGGCGCGCGCGGCCGGGCCCTCAGGAAGCGGGACCACACCGGAGCGCCGCGCAGCAGGCGGGACAGCGAAGAAGACAAGGAGCCAGCAAGGGGGACGGCGAAGCGCCGAGACGGTGGCCACGGAGCGGGAAGAGGACGGAGGGCCAAAGTGCAACAGGACGTCAGCGCCTGGCCTTCCTTCCGAGACGCGAGGGGTCGAGGGAGGAGACGCGTTTCTGGGACGCAGCGTCGTTCTCCCCACCATGAGGGGCGGGGCCACCAGAAGGACTGGCGAGGACGAGGGGCAAGGCAGGTCCATGACGACAGCGCAGCCAAGCGGTGCGTGAGGAAGACGGAGCAGAGAAGCCGCACACACACAACACACAGACGCACACAGACACACAAACGCACAGACACAGACGCACAGACGCACAGACGCACAGACGCACAGACACAGACAGACAGACAGACAGACAGATAGAGAGCCAGACAGACAGACAGACAGACACAGACAGACAGACACAGACAGACAGACACAGACAGACAGACACAGACAGACCGACAGACAGACCGACAGACAGACAGACAGGACAGACGGACAGACGGACAGACAGACAGACCGACAGACAGGCAGACAGACAGACAGACAGACAGAATAGACGGACAGACAGACAGACAAGCACACACACACACACACGCAAACACACACACACGCATAGACACATGTCGGTCCACAGAGTGGATTTCACTCCTCAGTCACGCTGGTGCACGGGTCAACTCTCTGGGGCCCACGAGCAGGCATGATCAGATACCCTGGTCGTGCGACCTTTAGGGGTCCCAGATCCTTCGCCCCGTTCTTGGTACGCAAATTGCACGGCCCATGGCACGCGTGTGCTGTTCTATTGCGAAGGCCTTACGGCCGATGCCACGACCCTGTAGGGAGCGACGACGAAGACCATGGAGGCAGAGGAGTCCAAGATGCCCTCAGATGGCTCGAAGACGGCGCCGGATGCCTGCAAGGTCGTCCGAAGACAGCTCAAGAGGCCTCCTCCAGGGTTCGGGAACGGCTCCAGAGAGTGCCAAGATAGGCAAAGAGCGCCCTCAAGTGGCCCGAGAGGGTTCCAAGACGGCGTCAAGCGAGGTCCAACAGCGCCCGCAGAGGCTGTCAAGAGTGCCGCCAGAGGCTGCCAAGAGAGTCTAAAAATGGCGAAAGGTCTCCAAGGAGCCTTAAGATATGCTGAAAGGGCCCGCAGACGGCCCCGGAGGGCCAATTGAGCCCCATGGACGCAGGAGGATGAGAGGCGGGGGGGCTGCGTATCCGAGGGCGGACCCCCCCCCCCCGGGAGTTGCCCCGGGACCCCTCCCCTGGCGGGGAAGGTATCAAAGGGCCCGCAGACGGCCCCGGAGGGCCAACGGAGCCCCAGGACTCAGGAGGATGAGAGGCGGGCGGCTGCATATCCGAGGGGGGACCCCCTCCCAGGAGTAGGGGGACCCCCACCCAGGGGGACCTCCCCTGCAGGGAGTAGGGGGGACATCCCCCCCGGGAGTTGCCCCGGGACCCCTCCACCCCCCCCGGCGGGGAAGGGATCAAGGGAAGGGGCTTCCCTTCGACTGAAGGACGACGTTGTTCAATTTTTGTGTGGACTTGTGTAGGGAGCCCTCGGAAAGCAGAAGAGGCGACGACGCTGTGGGGCAGACGGAAAAGCCTCTCCCACATGGCACGCGTGTGTTGTTCGATTTGCGCATCTGTAGACGTTGTGCAACGCCCTTCCCACGTAACCTCAGCGGGCTCGGCCCTCCGGAGCTCTTCTTCCCATGAGGGGCGGGGGGTGGGGGTGGATGGACTGCTGGTTCTCCATGGCCGGCCGTTTCTTGATCAGGAGACCTTGCGCTCCGTTCATCTGCCGGTCTTTGCACGGCGGGGGGGGTAACACGCGTGACTCGAGGGCGGATGTTGACGGAGGGCACGGCACACCGTCCCTGGAGAATCATTGGTGTCGGATACCACTTCTCCCTGTTTGCTATGGAACGCCCCCCTGACTCAGGATCTGCCGTATTGGGGCTGATTGTTGGACTCCATATTACGTCGAAAATGCATCCCAAATAATGCGCAAAAGTGAGGCGGTGATTTTCGCCTCAGAAAAGCAAGGCGGATATTTTCGCAAAAATATGGCGTAGACAATGGTGGCAAAGTACGGCAGATATCGGGGTTTGGGAGCATAACGGCACCTCGCGTCTTGAAGTTGTTCATATTGCCGAAGATGATGGCATCGATGATGAGGATGCTTTGGGCTCTCGGTGATGCAGATGCTGACGATGCCGATGATGCTTGCCATCTCGGGCTTTCGGATACGGGCACACTCTGGCCTGGCGCGCCGCCACTTCAGTCGAGGGATGATGAGTTGTATCTTCGTACTATCAAGTGCCCGCCGCAGTATTGTCACATCCTCCCCCTCCTCCTCCTCCTCTTAGTCCTACGTATCCTGCTGCTCCTCCCTCCTTCTCCTGCCAGATATGAAGAGGAGAACACGGATAATAATGAGGAGGAATGGCATGAGGAAGGGGATTGATGGGATCACGACGATGGCGATGATGAGGATAAGTAAGAATCACTTCTCCACATCAGCATTTTTTCCCTCATCATCCACATCCGAGTTCTCTTCATTGCCCTCACCCTGCCAAGTGTCCGCCAAATTGTCGTCATCATCCTCCCCCTCCTCCTCATCCTCCTCATGATCCTCCTCATTATTATGTTCCCCCTCCTCCTACACCTCATCCGCCACCTCCGTCAACTTATCTGCTACATTGCGTCAGACTGGATGGGCAGGTGGCGCTTTCGGCTCTACTCTGTGCTCGGTGCTTCTCCTTTCCTCTTCCTCTTCCTCATCATCCACCTCCTGCCCATCAGCAGCATCCTCTCCGCCTCCTCATCCTATTCCTCCTCTTGCCCCCATCAATCCACCTCCTCGTCGTCCTCCTTCTATCACTCATGCTCCTCGCCCTCTTTGTTCTCGTATCTCTCACATAAGAGGCGGAGAAGGAGGGAGGAGCTGCAGTGAGGAAAATGATGGGGTGAGAGGGGGGAAGAGGAGTTGCCCTAGGAGGCGAATTATGAGAAGAACGATGAGGAGGTGCGTGGGGGGTCATTCCCACCCTCCTCCTCCTCCTCTTCTCCTCGTTCTCCTCCTCTTTTCTTCTCCCCTTCCCCCTCCCCCCCTCCTATAGGAGAGATAGGACGGGGATGACGAGGATGAGCAGGAGTGATACTCCAGGAGGGTGATGATGAGGATGAGGACTGTCAGGAGCAGCAGACGGAGAAGGCGCGACTACTGAACATTCTCGTCATCATCAAACTCCTCGTTATCCTCATATCACCCCTTCTCGCCCTCCTTTTCCTCCTCATCCTATCACTCCCCCACCCCCTTCCAAATGTGAGATCTGGGGAAGGAGAATAAGACGCGTTATGTGAGTGGGAGGTGGAAGTGATAGGACCATGATGATGACGATGATTAGCATGCGTAAGAGTTACTCATCGCCATCAGTATCGTTTTCAACATCACCATCATCCTAATCATCTTCCTTCTCCTCATCATACCAATAGTCTGCCACAGTCTCGGCATCATTCTTACCCGCCCCGCCCCTTTACTTTCTTC